ACAAACAAATCTGAAGAAGAAATAAAAAAAAAACCATCCCTTTTATTATCAATACAAAAATAATCAAATACTTGGGAATGAATCTAACAAAAGAGGTAAAGGACCTATACAAAGAAAACTATAAAACACTGTTAAAAGAAATAGAAGAAGACACAAAGAAATGGAAAGACATCCCCTGCTCATGGACTGGAAGAATAAACATTATTAAAATGGCCATCCTACCAAAAGCGATATACAGATTCAATGCTATTCCAATAAAAATTCAATGTCATTCTTCAAAGAAATAGAACAATTATTGATGAATTCATATGGAATCACCAAAAACCCCAATAGCCAAAGCTCCTGAAAAAAAAAGAAGGGAATGGAGGCATCACACGCCCAGACTTCAAACTATACTACAAAGCCATAATCATCAAAACTGCATGGTATTGGAACAAGAACAGACACACAGACCAATGGAATTGAATAGAAAATCCAGAAGTAAACCCTCAGATTTATGGTCAACTAATATTTAACAAAGGAGCAAAGAATACGCATTGGAGCAAAGAAAGTTTGTTCAATAAATGGTGCTGGGAAAACTGGGTTGCTACATGCAAAAGAATGAAGCTTGACTACTACCTAACACCATGCACAAAAAACAACTCAAAATGAATCAAAGAACTAGATATAAGACCTGAAACCATAAAATACATAGAAGGAAATATAGGCTAAACACTACATGATATGCACATCAAAGACATCTTTACAGACACATCACCCAAAGCAGTGATAGTGAAGGTAAAGATAAACAGCAGTGACTACATCAAATTAAAGAGCTTCTGAACAGCAAAAGAGACAATAACAAAAACAAAGAGAAACCCCACCGACTGGGAGAACATTTTTGCACACAACACTAACTATAAAGGACTGATCACAAAAATCTACAAAGAGCTGATGAGACTCAACAAAAACAAAGAAAATAATCCAATCAAAAAGGGGCAGAAGAGCTAAAAAGAAACTTCTCTGAAGAGGAAATGCAAATGTCCAACAGGCATATGAAAAAATGTTTGACATCACTTGTAATCAGGGAAATGCAAATCAAAACTACAATGAGATACCATCTTACACCAGAGAATGGCACATATTAAAAAAACTAGCAACAACAAATGTTGGCGAGGTTGTGGAGAAAAAGGAACTCTCCTGCACTGTTGGTGGGAGTGCAAACTGGTCCAACCACTATGGAGAGCTGTGTGGAGATTTCTGGACCTACTAAACATAGAGCTTCCATATGATCCAGCAATTCCACTCCTGGGTATTTACCCAAAGGACACAGAAACATCAATTCCAAAGAGCACCTGCACCCCTATGTTTATAGCAGCACTATTTACAATAGCTAAGCTTTGAAAACCAACCAAATGCCCAAAAATAGATGACTGGATCAAGAAGACGTGGTACATATACACCATGGAATATTTCTCAGCATTCACAAAAGATAAACACATGCAATTTGCAGCAACATGGATGGCGCTGGAAGGGGTCATGCTCAGCGAAATAAGCTAGAAAGAGAAAGAAAAATACTGGATGGTCTCACTCATAGCAGGAATCTAGAAAACTTAAATAAGGGACCAGGAAAAAGAATAACTATAAGAAAGAAAATATCAAAATCAACAAACAACTATAAACCAGAGACACTCTCTGGGGGTTGGGGGCAGGGAAAGGAGGGCTTGGGGTCAAAATAAGGGGGTTGTAATTGTATGGGGAATATAAAAATAAAATTTAAATAAAATGTGAAAAAAATAAATAAAATCAGACATAGAAACTTAAAAAAAAATCTTTAAAAAAAGAATTTTAAAATTCTTTGCATAATTTACAAAGTACCCTCTACAATCTAACCTGTATTTTTCCAGTCCCATCTCTTGTTTGCAGCACTGCTTTAAAAAAGTATTTATGATTTTGCATGCACCCACTATTCTTTCTTTGTCTATATTAATAAATGTTCAACTGATTCTTCCTGACCTACACCACCCCATCATTGTCTGCCTGATAGCTACTCCCATGTAAGGATGTAGTTTACATGCCATCTCTTCTAGGAAGCTTTTCTTGACTCATCATTCTAATAGTGTGTCTACATACAGTATTGCTAGCATTTATTGTATACTATCACGGTTGCTTATTTACATGTCTGTCTCCCTTACTGGAACTTGAGCTCCTTAATAATAGAGATTATGTCTTAATTATTTTTGTATCTTCAGATCTTAGCAATGTCTCATATAAATGTGGAGTCCAGTATACATTTTTAAATTTATTTGTCCCTAATGTGTACATAGCACATTGTACTCAGCTTTGATGGAAAAAGAAATGCAAAACTAAAAGACATGTATACATGAATATTGTTCCATATAATTTCTACATTTTGATGGCTGCTAAATTTTCCATTGTGTATATATGTGTGTGTGTGTGTGTGTGTGTGTGTGTGTGTGTGCCAGAATTTATTTAACTATTCCCCCATTGTTAAATAATGGTTAATGTTTTCAACTTTTCACTGTTTTAAATTAAATTGTGCTGCAGTGAGCCTAGATGTAATCACCATTATCATTCTTCATTAAAACTTAATAGGTAAAAATAATTCCCATATTTCATTTCAGTTCTTCTGGCTACTAATGAGGTTGACTATTTTAAAAATGCTTATAACCAATTTGTATATCATTTTACAAGTCATCTATTTGTGACTTTTGGCCATTTTTTGATCAGGGATATTCTCTTACTGCCCTTATTTTCTACCAGGAGAATAAGAGGTATGCTATAGAGTGTCTGTGAGAGTACATTGTCCTTTGATGGTGAATTTTATATTATCTAATAATATTTATAATGTATAACTTAAAAATAATTACAGTAGAAAGCTGTGCTTGAATTTAGTGGCCAAATTTCTTATTTTCGTAACTTTCTCTGAAAGTTAATCTTTATCTAAAATATTTTCAAGTAGGTTAAGTCAAAGAAAACATATGTTCCCTAAACAGAATGGGACTGGCCAGAGGAGTTTTACCAGAATCTTTTGGGAGGAAGTTCTCTTTGAAAAATATTTTTAAGCAGACAAAATATGATCTTAACCAACATAAAGTTTTTTTTTAATGGACTTTCTGTCCCATAATTCTCTATGGCTATCCTATGCCAATACCACACTGTCTTGATTATTACAGCATTATTTATTCTTTTTCAAGATTGTTTTGTCCACACTGGGTCCTTTGCCTTTCCATGCAAATTTTGAACTAGTTTTATCTACTAACCTTGTCTATTTCTACAAAATCACCTGAAATTTTCACAGAGATTACTTGGATCTGTACATCAGTCTATGGAGATTTGTCATAACACCATTGAGCCTTTCAGTCCATAAACATGGATTAACTCTTCACTTATTTAGATTTTTTATTTTGGCGGCGGGGTGGGGGTGGTGGTGGACCCTCGCCGGGAGCCGGGGATCCGAACTGGTGCTGCAGAGGCTGCGGGCAGCCTCGCACCCAGCACTCAACTGCTGCGCCACCAGGGGAGGCCCTAGATATTTATTTTTCTTTTAGTCATGTTTTGTAGTTTTTAGTATATAGGTCTTATGTTTCATTTGGTAAATTTATTCATAAGTGTTTTCTTTTTGATGCTGTCATATATAGAATTATTTTAATTTCATTTTCATATTGTTCACTACAATTCTTTAATAATGTCAAAATGTGTGTGGCATATTTCCCCCCAAATTTAGACTATTACTAGCATTTTCTTATTATTTAATAGACCTTTGTGAACCAATCACTGATGAATACATATCATGGGACCAGACAGTTAATGCCTAGGTGTAGTTCTCTCCTTAAAGAATGAAAGTCTGTATGTTAATACAGAAATAATCCTAAGAATTGAATTTAAAGACATGACAAAATATTTATAGTAAGGATCTCTTAGTAATGCTGACTTATATTTTTTGACATTTTATTCATTAACATTTTCTAATAAATGAACTTCTTTGCATTTAATATGTATCAATTAGCAAATTAAGTAAATTGTGCTTATGTGGACACTTTTGACCTCAAGTTAATGGTTTGTTGTAGTGCTCATTTGGGCTTTTATCAGTTTGAAAATGTTCTTAGGGGGGAAATTTGTATCCAGCTGTTCATTTGTGCAACGGAAAGGACATTAGTTTGCCATGTTCATGGTCACTGTTTTTCTAGCCTTTCAGTAGACAACCATTATTTTAAGCACTTGTTCCAAAGGTGTGATCTTACATAATGCCTCTATATTATAAGATAGGATAAAGCATTATACTTTAAAAACAGAATCACAGCATGGGTTTTCCAAGTGGCTGATGAAAATTACATTGCTTCAAATGTTTTGTTTTTCTCTTGCAAAGTTTTTCTTAAATCTTTGACACCTATTGTTTATTAACTAGTGAGTATTAGTGAACACTAAAACAAATGGCCAAGTTTAATTGGACATGTTAATAGAAAAATGTGCACAACTGATTCAGATGATCATGCTTATAGCTCATTTTTTACTACAGAAAGTTATTGTTTTGTATGGTAAAATTAATGGTATTTTTTTTTTTGTTGTGCCCCTGAGCAAAGTTTAGGACCATCAAGTTAAATAAATTATTAGGAAGGAACAGAAATATGAATCAACTCAATATGATAATGTGCTTACAGATAGCAAGACCTACCTAAATCTATACCTTCAATTTAATGACACCCTGTATGACACTTTTAAGCTGTAGTGAGTGAAAGACAATTAACACTTTTTTTCAATGGAACATAAATGTCAAGGAGGCATGCTAGGAAGAGCAGATCAAGAACATCCTTGTCCACTGTTTTTGTAATAGTTTCTAAACTAAGAAACATGATTTTTCTTCTACATTTTCTAGTACTTAGTTATTTAAATTGATCTTCAGCATCTCATAAATCATACATTGAAGAGAGAATATAACTTATAATATTCCTGGAATATTTTGACCTCAGATTAATGATGTATAACCTTTCCCCTTACAGGCATGCTGCAAAGGAAGGTAGAAGAGGTAACACAGGTTTTTGAGACTCATCACTGCAAGGAACAGGACAACAATGTCAGGATTGCTTTTAATTGAATGGTCAAATTTTCTGCATGTTGTTTTTGGATTATATATTACCTACAAATATAGATGATGTTAAATAAAGTAGTATTTACAGTTATGCTTTAATCTTTGGTTGCAGTAAAATCTGTCTGTTTTTGTGGCTTTTTCTCCATTTAAATATTATACTGTTGAGGATTATACTGTTTGACTGTTAGTATTAATAGATTAAAATATTAGCCCTGTTGTTTAGAAGGAAATCTCATAGATGTTGATTCTCTGTAGTTCATATCTTACTCTGCTAGATTCCATTCCTTTCTACGAGCACAAATCAGCTTTCTCACTCTAATCAGATCATAGAGAAGCGTTTGCCAAAAAAATAAATGCCAGTTTGTCTTTACTAGCTGCCTGTTACTTTCAACATACAGTGCTAGTTACTATAAACTCGCTCTCCTCAAAAGAACTTACTGTCTAGTTTGAAAATAAATAATGCCTGTCTGTATGAAAACAACACAAGGTTATATGTTATCCATTACAGAAAGTGTGTGCCACAGAAATTCAGAGAAGGCAGTACAAATCAGTGTTGATTGTGGATTTGAATTAGGTTATTTTAGAAAGGGGAAGGATCAGGCAATGTGCTTTCTTTTGATGTACAGATACCTTGGTATCTTATTTAGTTTTAATATTTGATTTATATTTGATTTTTGTGGATTTTTTTTAAAAAAGCATTGTTCTTAGCATGGGACAGTCTGATCCCTTCAATTACATGTTTCATCTCTGTCAATAAATAAAGGTAATGTTCTAAAAACAAATAAAAGTATAACACCAAAATTTGCTACTTGAAAGTTTTTGAGTGACTGGAGCTTGGCTGTCTGTAATTACTGACCTGAATTTCTGTTGTGCTGACTGCACATGACCATCCTGAGGGGTACATAGTCCAGGAAGAAAATACTTTTGGAGTGAGGATTAGTGATTTTTATCTTATGAGTAGAATAAACATCAGAATTTACATGACCTTTTTTCTACCCAAACTTTTCAAATTAACAGCTTGTTGTCAGGTAAGTTTTTGTAATCACTCAAAATTTTCGAGTGAAAATATTTCAGAGACCATTAAATTTTGTGGGTGGTTTCTGTAAGTAAATGCAGCTTATGAGTAATCTTGAATAATCTCTAATTTTTTGTGTCCTTGTTCTATTATTACACCAAGATAAAGATATTTCCCTTATTTTGGGGGGAGATTCGAATCGTGTAGACTGTGTATAAGTTAAGTTTCACATTCAGTAAAGACATCACAGTGTTGGAGGAAATACTGGATTAGTCTTGTCATTGTCTAATTGCAAATCATTTCATTTTGGCCATTGTCTTTTATCTATAATATGAAAGAGCCAGACCTTATTAGGTTTTCCCAGCTGAAAGAAACTAGTTTTCATTTCTCTAGAGCCTTGTGATTCCTTCATGTTTTTTCACTATGTAAGAGTGCTTATTATAAAGAGGCTACAGTACTCCTAGCTTTGCATTTGGAATTCTAGTGCTTTGTCCAGGGCATAGAAGAGTCCTGTGGATGACAAGTGGCTTGCAATTCAATACAGTAACAAGATTTAGTAGTAGAGCTCAATATACCATCTGGAATCTGGAGCCTTGGACTAAATCATCTCTAAGGTTCCTTCTGATTCTGATTCTAACCCTTATCTAACAGAAATAACATTGTTGAGCAAATATTAAAAGGTCAGAAACAACCTATTTTGCCAGTAATTTTAAGACAACTTTTATGTTAAGTTCTAGTGTTTTGAGTCCCTCTTAACCATTTTTAAAGATTGGCTACAACAGTAACTGAAGGAGAATTTTTAAATTTGTATTGTTGACACTTTCCACTGCTTATCTGCTTTTTCTTGTCCTTTGAAAAAGATGTCATATCTAGTCTCTTTATAACAGCATTTGTGCTGTCTCATTTGGGAAATTTGAAAGGCATGCACAATTGTTTACAATAAATATTAAATGAGTGATGCTATCCCTCTTTAAGAGAAGATTTTTGGTTTTAGCATCTTTCATATCTGGAAATTATAATTGCTTTATAATGTATTCATCAGAAGTGTGCTGCAAACAAAACACCTAAAAAGGACAAACCCTGAAAATATGTCTATGTTAAGGAGGAGCTTCAGGCTTAATTAAACTAACCTTGTTAAATTGTCAGAAAGACAAATGAGGCATATTTTTCAGTTTGTCATAAATTATTGTAGGGGTGAAATTGTCAAATTACCTCATGGTAAGTTCTCTATGCCTATGAATAACATCTAGAAATCTCAAAGCTTTTAATGTACTGTCTGATAACCTTTTAAAGCATGGAGAGGGATGCTTTGGGAAATGGAATAGCTATTATTCCACAGTTAATAAGTTTGGCAGGGCTAGAAATAGCCTGGTTTTCCTTCTAGTGCAATTTTCTGAGTGTTTGTCCCTTGGTATCTACCGCTCGGATTGGCTCCATTTATATCCAAGTACATAGAAAACTTGCTTATGACCTTCTTTCCGGTTGCAGTTACACTCTGTGTGAATGTCTTTTTAGCCATTCATTCTCCACTCATCCCACCTAGTGGATTTGTCATGTAGTGTTTATCACTTCGGTACCAACAGGATGTATGTATTATTAGAAGCTGTATACAATTCTGATGTGATTCAGGCCGGTGTAGTATTTCACCCTTTGCTACCTTCTCAGGAGACAAGTGCTAGCAATCTTGGTGTATTTTTCCATTTCCCTGTTGATTAATGTGTCAGTTGGATAGTTTGCTTAAGCAGTATCCCCACCACCATACAAGATTTACCTGGTGCAGGTTGGGATATAACCCATATTTTGTTTATGCTTATATTCTGTCCATATTCTCTCCAAAGCTCCAAGCCGTGCAGTAGTGCATATTATATCTGTATTCATTTATCTGCATGATTCAAGAGCAAAAAAGTTGTAGATAACGGGTTTTAGATAACTAGTACTTTCTATGACATTTTCCATCTGCCAGAAGTTGTCAAGATAGGAAGCACAGTGTGTTTTAGTAGTTGCTCTTTGGTCCTGTTTCCTAATTTAAGCATGATGACACAGTTTGAATAAGTCTTTTTTTTTTTCTGTTGATATTCTGTTTATTTTTTTACAAACTACATGTGACTGAAATTTACTTTTTTCACTCTTGCAAACAATGCTGATTTGAAAAACCTTGCACACATTTCATTTTCTATGTCTCTAATGCATCTGTAGGATAAATACCTCTAATTAGATTTGCTAGGTCAAAGGCTGTTTGCCTTGGTAATTTTGAGATATTGGTAAGCTTCTCTCCATAACGGTCATAAAAATTATATTTCTACCAATAAATTATTTGAGAGTGACTGTTTCCTAGAGCCTAATTTACAGGGTGTGCATTAAACTTTTGGACTTCTGCCATTCTGAAAGGTGAAAAGTGATATCTCAGGTTAGTTTTTTTTTATTTTTTAATTTTTTTTACATTATATCATTTTTTAAATTTTATTTTTAAATTATTTATTTTTTCTCTTTAATAGGATATTTTTTTATTTAAATATTTTATTTTATATAATTCTTACATCTTTTTTAATCTTTTCACAATGTATGCATTTGCATTTTGGTTATATTCCCGATACAATTGCACCTCCCCCCTTATTTTGACTCTAGTCCTTCCTTTCCCAACCCCCCCCCCCATGTGTCTCTGGTTTATAGTTGCTTGTTGATTTTGATTAGTCTTTTTCCTGGTCTCTTATTTAGGTTTTCTAAATTCCTGCTATGAGTGAGACCATCCAGTATTTTTCTTTTTCTTTCTGACTTATTTCACTGAGCATGATCCCTTCTAGCTCCATCCAGGTTCCAGCAATTCCACTCCTAGATGTTTACCCAAATGATGCAGAAACAGTAATTCCAAAGGGCACCTGCACCCCTATGTTTATAGCAGCACTATTTACAATAGCTAAGCTATGGAAGCAACCCAAATGCCAAAAAATAGATGACTGGATCAAGAAGATGTGGTTCATATACACAGTAGAATATTACTCAGCAATCAAAAGAGATAAACGCATGCAGTTCACAGTTTGAATAAGTCTTAACCTGCTGGATAACATTGCAATATTTGCTCATGGATGACCTCCCTAGCAGGTGATTTTAAAACCGTACTTTAATTTTTCCTGTGAAATAGTTGCAGAATCAAATAAATGAGTACTATTGTATCAAAAGTTTTGTACTTTACAGACACCGTATTCTGAGGTATTACCCCCATTTTAGCTGGCCTAGACCAATTAAACACAACTTATTGAAATTCACATAGTCTTGTAACTTGCCAAAGCAAAAGTTCTGTCCAGATTTGTACTCTGCTATATTATCAATAACAGGGAGTTGAGATTCAAATCCAAGCAGTGTGAGCCCCAAAACCCATGATCTTTTTTCTTCTGTGGCACTTTGTCATGTAACAAGGGCTTCCCTTAATTAAAAATGATTTGATAATAGTCATATGTGGTAATATGGTTACAAACACACACACACACAGAGAAAGAGAGTGAGAAACAGAATGAGTATCCTCCCCTATCTGGTAACAGACACCACTTGCCTTTTTTCCCAGAGATCTTCTATATATTCTCCTTTTTTTGCTCAAATGGGAGTATACTGTACACATTTTTACAGACCTAGCTGTTGCATTGACTATGTTTCAGTCTGTAGAGTTACTTTGTCATAGTTGGGATTGCTGCATACTTTTCCAGTAAATGAATAGCACATTTGTGGATATTTAAGTTGTTTTCCAATATTCTGTTGTGACAATGCCACAGTGAATTTTCTATATATAATAGAAGTTGAATTGCTGCTCTAAGGCAAATGAGCATTAATTTCAATTATACCCTCAAGTTGCTTACCATAGACGTCATACCAGTTTCCCTGCAGCATCAACAAAATAAGTGCATTGACAGATTTGACTAGTCTGGTAGCTGAAAATGTTATTTTAGTGTACTTTGTAAATGTACACTTTTTAAAGAACTTTAGATTTGCAGGAATTTTAGTAGTACAGATTTCTCTATATCTCCATTTAATTTCCGTTAGTGTTAACATCTTATAACTGATATAAGCTAATGTCACAGCTAATGAACATAATTAAAGTTTATTGACATGTGTTTAGTTTTTACTTAGGTCCCTTTTTCTCTTCCAGGATGCCATTCAGGATATCACATTAAATTTAGTCATCATGTCTCATTTTGTGTCTTTGACTGTGACAGAGTCTCAGACTTGCCATGTCTTTGATGACCTTGACAGTTTTGAGGTGTACAGGCCAGGCATTTTGTGATCAGTTGCCTTTGAAATTTCATGTCACTTATACATCAAATGATCTTTTCATGTGCTTAGGGACATTTGTATTTCCATTTCTAGATCATGCTCTTTACTACTATCCTGATCCTTTCTCTTCATTAATCATAATTTTCAATAGGAACATCCATGGGCCTGAATATATATGGATTTGTGATTCATAGGATAGAAAATACAATGTCTTGTAAGCCTCTGTTACAGAAAGAAGAGAACCACTAGTGCCAGTGATGTGCCTGACTTGTTTCTGCCCACTGTGGCTGCACTGCAGAGGATGGACCTGAACCTCGACTGGAAACCGTGGGTAGGTCAGAGAAGACCTTGGCAGAAGCAATATTGTTAGGGATGCATTTGACAGAAATTAGAGAATAGCCAGGCTTTTGTGATATTGGATGAGAGTGAAGATGTCAAGGGTGATTCCTTGGTTTTGAGCTGGATGTTTTGTATGTGCTTTTAACCTGGAGGAGAAATGAAACAGAAATAGTCGGACACTTTACAGCGCAACGGTTACTTAATACTTTCTCTTTTTATTGCTTCAGCTCTGTCGGACTACGATTCCCAGAGGCCTGCACGGTACCACAATACCCTTAGAGTCTGCCGCGTAGAGTTCTGGGATTTGAAGTCCGCAGCCTATTTACCCAAGTTAGAGATAGGGGCCTGTGGAAACATGAAGAGGTAAGGGCTTGTCTGAGAGCAGGCGATGAGGGGAAATCTTGTTTTACTTTTTAACTTTGAAAATGGATTTTGCTACTTTGTGTTTGTGTTTTGTCACCTTCTGGGGACGCGGTTTCGTGTGAGCGGGAAAACAAAGGAGGAGGGAGGAGGAGGGGAGACGGGCTAGCCTGGCCTGCTGGGCGAAGTTCGGGAAGGCCCGCCGGGGCGGGTTCCCGCAGGAATGCGCTCCCGGCGCGGGTATGCAGGCCACGGCGCCGGCCCCCGGAGCTGGACGGATGCTGTGTTCCCTTCCTGTTTCAGATGGACCCACCCAGGTAAAAGGGTCTTGGCCGACTGATGCCCGGTGCCGGAGAAACCCGAGCCAGCACGCCCCCCCCCCCCCCGCCCCCGCTGTCCCACCCTTCCTTCGAGAGGGGCTCAGGGCGGGCGCATATTTGCAGTGTTTGCCCATTGAAGAGGAGTGGTTCGGGTGCCCAGAGCATGTTTGTGCTTTTTTCATCTTAAAGTAAGCGGGTAATACTTTGTTTCGACAAATTTAGAAGGAAAACACAAAACCGATTCGATGTATTAGAGGAACAGAAAGCCACTGCTGCGAGCAGCTCCCTCTACCGGTCCCGCAGGAAACGGCAGCCTTAGCTTGGCAGGTCGTTGCGGAAACCCTGCGCCTCACCATTACTGACGGCACACAAAGCCTGTCTGAAGGCGCCACTACATTAATTTTGGATTCATTCTGCAAGTGGAATAATCACTCTGGAATTGGGCGGGGCATATCCAATTCATACTGATGTGCTCTCCTGTTCTGTTCATCCCTCGTGCCATTTTAAAAAAAACCTTTCTGATTTCCCCTGCTTCAAAATAACTTTTAAAAACATGTGCATTGCTGTATATCTCATACGTGCATAATAACGTATCTTTATAGTTTAAGGAAGAATAGACTCACCACAAGCCTTGGAAATAGAATGTCACCGGTACCTTGAAAGTCCCCTGTGTGCCCCTTCCTGTTTGCTTCTCTTCCCTCCTTTTCCCTGAGGGGACCATTATCAGGAATTTTGCATAATCATCCCCTTCATTTAAAAAGAAATAGTTTTACCACTTATGAATTTAATCCTGAACAAAATCTTTCAAGTTTATTCATTTTTAAGCTTTATGTAAATGAACACTCTCTGTATGAATTTTTCTATGACCTGCTTTTTTTTTTTTTCCCACTCAACAGTTTATTTTGGATTTGTGTGTACTGGGTAGTAACATGTTTTTTTCATTTCAAAGTCACATTAAACTTGGCAAGGACTGAAATTTTAAATACTAGGTAAAATTTAAGATATTTAAGAAAAGAATTTTTAAACACCAGAACTTACAGGTATTTAAAAATTTGCTAAAATAAGCCTAAGTCTTTCCACAGCATGGGAATCTAGTTTATAATAATGGGCAATATTTCAAGCCTCATCATAGCCCCAATAGGAAAGGGCTATTTTATAAAGAAGGCTTTTCATACTCACTTTCCTTATGGTTAACTCACAATGTTTTTGTCTTTTATAATCTGTTGTTTCATTCTTAAGTGGTCTTGTTATTTCTTTACACTTGAATGAGAATTTTCAATTATTTAGGTTTAGTTAGCTCATGTTAACATTACCTGGATTTTGTCCAGTTGCCTGAACTATAAAATGTTACGATGCTCTTCACATTTATTTCTATATATTCTTCTTTGGAGAGCTCTCTTTCTGCTCCAGATCTTGACGACACAGATGACTTGAAATTTCTGTGTTCAGGTTAGATGCTCATCTATGCAACAGTTCTACCATCTCTCATGTTCCTTTTCACCAGTATCAGTTATACTGTCACCTCAGACTCAGTAAGTCATTGAAGTATTCCTGATACTTCTTGCTGTGGTTCACTTGTAATAGCCCCTTGACTCAACATGGCTAAAACAATGCTGACTTTACAACCATTTGTTCAATCTCGAGCTTCCTTGTTCCTTCTTTGTCGGTACCCTCATTCTCTCAGTTACACAGCTTGGAATTTGCGGGTTATCTTTGACTCCTCCCTGATTCCTACCTTCCAAAGGCTTCTCTAATCTAATTCTTCCTTTCCAATTCCACTGTTATCACTCTAGTGTGGACCTTATGCTTGATAAATTTAAATTGTTTTCTAACTAGTGCTTCTGTTTTTTGTCTCCTACTAATCCATATCCATTTTCCTAAACCATCACTTTTGTGGTGTCACTTAACTGCCTGATAAATTGCTTTCTAATACTTATACATTAAAGTCCGGGCCCCTTAGTTAGTGTATTTAAGGCCATTCACAATCTGAATCTAATTATTCCTCCAAGATATCTCCCAGTGCTCCCATACCTGAATGCAGGCTAAATTGAACTTCTCATTATCCCTGAGAACATATTTCTGTCTCTTTATACACGCTCTCCCTGTTCTCCTGTCCTTCATCACACCCAATCCTTCAGATGCCGGTTTAAGAATTACCTTTCCAAGGCCTTCATTACCACCTTAACTCCTAATTATGTCTGTCTTCTCTGAACTCCTACTAATTTGGCATATACATCTCTGTATCATTCTCTCCTCTGCCCCTCCTCTCCCCTCCCTCCCCCTACTCCTCCTCCCCCTTCCTACCTCTCCCTACAGGCACAGGCACAAAACACACATTTATTTCCTCTCACTAAATTAATTGCAGACTTCTTGAGGATGGGGACTATGCCTTGAATATTGACTTGTCTTCACCGCTGTCAGTACCTAGCACAATGGGTTGTGTGTATTTAGCAAATGTTTGTGAAATGAATGGTAAAGAGTGATCAGGTGGTAGGGAAGTGGGATCACTAAAGATAATGTAGATAAAGAATATGTTCTAGGATTCACTGTCTCTTCTACTTTCTGTGTATATTCTTATATCTACTCCAGGGTGAACAGCTGTGTGAAGAGTGATGAGCATGTCCTGGAGGAGTTGGAAACAGAAGGGGAGAGGCAGCTGAAAAGCCTCCTTCAGCATCAGCTTGATACCTCTGTCTCCATTGAGGAGTAGGTATTGATTTTGCAAGCAGATAGAGTATTACAGACCCTCTCCTGCAGGTGACAGACCCCTGTTAAAGCCTGTGTGGAGCACTCCGCTCCCACCCACCTTTCCTTGGCAAACTTCTATTTATTAGGCAGGATTTTTCTTGTGTGTCTCTTCCTCTAGGAAGCTTCCCATATCCCTCTAAGTCTGAGCTAAGTGCTTTCCTATCTCTTCCCTTAACGTACATAGCCCTTCTAACCCAGTGTTGTCATTGTTTACTTGCCTCTCCCTATGTTCTTCTACAAGAGCACAGACCATTATTATCTTTTTTATTAAGCCCCCAGTACCTAGCACAGTGTTGGATGCATAGTACGTACTCAATAAATGTTAAATTCGGTCACTTATTGGTCTTGGATGAGAGCATATTGATGGCATTTCATTTTATTGTAGTAGTGCTTCAGCCTAGAAATAGGGCATGAGAGAGACATTGCCTGTGATTTTCATTGTAACTCTTTATTAAAAGTGAGCTGCAACTCCGAACTGTGGTAACTTGAAGATGTTCTTACTCCCTTTCTGCTTGTGTTGCAGATGTATGTCTAAAAAAGAGAGCTTTGCTCCTGGTACTATGTACAAGCCCTTTGGGAAGGAAGCAGCTGGAACTATGACTTTATCCCAATTCCAGACACTGCATGAGAAGGATCAGGAAACTGCTTCTCTCAGGGAACTAGGGCTCAATGAAACAGAAATATTGATCTGGAAGAGCCATGTTACAGGTGAAAAGGTGAGTGGGGCATTTTTTGGTCTGGAGAATAAAGACCAAGGCCTCTATTTGGCATTGAGATCTTTTTTATTTCTAATTCTCTTAAAACTGAATTTTGTGTGTGATTCTTCTTTGGTTTCTAGAATAGGGACCTTGGCAAAAGAGAAGCTGTTCTTTGAATTCTTTGCTAACACTTCTATAAACTATCATCTTCTTTTCCTATTGGAGGCATCAGATCATCACTTTCAGAATGGTCCTTTTTGATCTGTGCCATCTCTCTTTTCTGGTTTCAGAGGACAAGACTGAGGGCAACCCCTGAAGCAATACAGAAGCGTCTTCAAGACATTGAAGAAAGGATCTCAGAGCGTCAGCGCATCCTTTGCCTGCCACAGAGATTTGCAAAGAGCAAACAGTTGACCCGGCGCGAAATGGAAATAGAAAAGTCTTTATTTCAGGGAGCTGACCGCCATTCCTTCCTTAAGGCTCTTTATTACCAAGGTATGTGATTGCCACTGATTTTGAAATGTTCTTTCATTGAGACAAAGATTTAACATTAGATAAGAAGAGTTAATGAAGGGATAGGGGAAGGACAAACTATCACTACTCTGGAAGCATATATATTCCACGAGAGAGACAAATATGCACACAGTTGCAGTACAACATGGAAATTGCTTTTATAAAGATGTGAATAAAGTGGTAGGCAGCAGAGAACATCTAAGTCTAGTTGGGGGAGTCAGGAGTTGTTGACATTTGTATTAAGTCTTGACAAATGCAGACATTTGTCCGGTAAATAGGGGGAGAGGGTGTTACAGTTAGCGGGTGAAATGGAACAGGATTGTGAAACGACCTGATGTGTCTAGGGAACAATGAAAAGTTCAGTGTGGCAAGAAGTACTGGGCATGGCAGGGAATGATGGGAGATGACATTGGAAAGGTTGGTGAGGCCAGATGGTGAAGGGTTTTTAGGCTGAACTATAAATTAGCACAAAATAAATAGTCTCCACCATAACCAGAATTAGTTTAGTATTCATTTTCTAGGCACTGTGGAAGGTGCACAGAACTTTGTGGTTCCTGACGTGCTTAATGACTTTTGTGTCAATTACAGTCTGATTGGAAAGTAGCACTTAGTAAGAAAGCTAGAAATACTTGTGTTGTAGAAGTTCAGAGAAGGGAAAGGCCACTGTGCTTTGGTGTCATTGAAGACCTCTCAGAGGAAGTAAGAGTTAAATATTCTTTCAATACTACCTGTTCTTTAAGAAGGAGAGGGACACGCATTTCACTGTGGCACGTTTGGGGGAATTGTGAGAGGTGGAGAGGAAGCTAAAAATTTTGAACTTTCATTTGGTGATTAGTATAGACCTTTCCAGAGTTAGTTATTCATTTGTTAATTGGTTGGAATATGGTTTTTGAGCCAGGAATAACACAATAAAAGCAGTATTTGTAAATGATTAATCTGTTGGCCAATAAATTAGATGAGAGAAGAAGAACTGGCAGCAGGGAGAATGGTTACAGAGTGTTACAGTCATTTAGGAATGAAGATCTGGACTAAAGTGATGGCAGTGGAATTGAAAAGAGAGGTATGTATGGTTATAAGAGACATTACAAAGGAAGAATTGATCAAGCTTGTTGATGAGAATGAAGGCGAGTCAATGGAGAGGAATGCGTCAAAGATAACCTAGAGGTTTCAAGGCTTGCTTTTATGGGAAAATTTTGAGGAAAGGTGATGAGTTTATTTTTAAACAAGTTCTATTTGTAATAATGGCAGGATCATCAAATTCTGTTATTGAGGAGGCATTGGGATATGCAGCAGTGAAGCTCAGGAAAGAGGTCATGACTAGAGAGATAAAATTGGGAATCATGTATGCTTTGCTGATAGGCAAAAGCCTGAGAATGAGTGAATTATTTGTTCGAGACTGAGAGACCATAGATATAGAAGATATATTGTGAAGGAAGGCATGGATCACAAATGAACAGTTTGTTGGGAAATGGCAGAATGCTGGGAAAATCCTGGCTCCCCCACTTAGTAGCTCTAAGATGCTAGGCAAGTTGCCACTCTGTGCTTCAATTTCCTCATCTGTAAAATGAGAATATTAATAGTATAATAGGGTTGTTATGATGTTTAAGTGAGATAATACATGTGAAGCATTTAGAGCAGTACCTGGTATTTGGGGGGACGGGGCGGGTGGTGTATGAATCTGTTCTTTTTCCTATCTTTGAAACTCCTTGCTTTAAACCTTCACAGCATACCACAAAAAGACAAGTGCAGACAAGTACATGACCTCAATGAAGAGGAAGATAAAATTAGGCACAAAAGGCAAGTCGAGAGTTTTCTTACAGTGTTAGATTTAGGAATGTAACCTAGGGTCCGAGACTTCTAAGTTGAGCACTATTTAATTCCATTTTCAGTATGTGACAATGTTTATAGGAAATGATCTAGAAGGAGCATATTATCCTGATATAGAATATTAAAGAGAGGAGTTAGTAGAAGTTGTAAAGCTTTTCCATTTAGTGTTGTTGATTTTTTTCTCTATTAAGTTATTGTACCAGACATAAAATGAACTTAATGTTTTTTAGATCCTATTTCACAACTGATTATGAATATTTTTATTAATCAGTAAAGTATAAATATGATGATTATGATAATATAACAGCTAATCTTTTATTTTGAAATGAGCTTTCAATAAAATTGCCTGGTTTTTCGTGGGGGTTTTTTTTGGTGTACCATTGTGATTTGTAAATCATGTTAATCATGTAACCACCACCACCACGATCAGGATAGAGAACAGCTCCATCAGCCTAAAACTTCTTCATATTATATATTTTATAGTCATCCCCAACACCCACCCATAATCTCTGATAATCACTGATCTGTTCTCCATCACTATAGTTTTATCTTTCAGAGAATATCATATAAATAGAATTATAAAATACGTAACCTTTTGAGACTGCCTTCTTTCATTCATCATAATGCCTTTGAGATTCATCCAAGCTGAATGTATCACTAGTTCATTCATTTTGCTGAGTAGCATTCCATTTTATGGTTGTTCCAAAGTTTGTTTTTCCATTCATCCATTGAAGTGCATTTGGGTGTTTCTAGGTTATGGTGATTATGAATAATATTGCTGTGAACATTCTTATACAGGTTTTTGTGTGAACATAAATTTTTATTTCTCTAAGGTAAATATCTAGAAGTGGGATTACTGGGTCATATGGTAAGTGTATGTTTAACTTTATAAGAAACTGCCAAACCATTTTCCAGAGTGGCTGAACCATTTTGCATTTTCACCAGCAATGTATGAGAGTTCAAGTTGCATCTTTGTCAGCTTTTGGTATTGTGGGTATTTATTTTAGTTATTCTAATAGATGTGAAGTGGTATCGCATTGTAGTTTTAATTTGCATTTCCTTAATGGCTAGTGGTGTTGAACATCTTTCCATATGCTTATTTGTCATCTTTATATCCTGTTTGCTGAAGTGTCTGTTCAAATACTTGCTGTTTTTAATTGGATGGTTCACTTTCTTCTTGATAACTGCTGAGAGTTCTTTATATATTCTAAACACAATTCTCTGATGGACATATGATTTGAAAATATTTTATCCCAGTCAATACCTTGTCTTTTCATTCTCTTAACATAGCCTTTTGCAGAGCACAATTTTTTTCAATTGTGGTAAAATATACCTAACCTGAAATTGAACATTTTAACCATTTTTTATGCGTGCAGTTCTGTTGCATTAAAAGCATGTTCACATTGCTCTGCAGCCATCATCACTATCCATCTCCAGAGCTTTTTCTTCTTCCCAAGCTGTAACTCTGTACCCATTAAACACTTAATTCCCATTCTCTACTTCTCTTCAGCCCCTGGCAACCACCACTCTACTTTGTGTCTCTATGAATTTGACTACTCTAGGGTATCTCATCTAAGTGGAAGCATACAGTATTTGTCATTTCGTGTCTGTCTTATTTCCGTTAGCTTAATGTCATCAAAGTTTATTCACGTTATAGCATGTGTCAGAATTTCCTTCCTTTTAAAAAATGCTAAATAATATTCCTTTGTATGTATCTATTACATATTGCTTATCCATTCATCTGTCAGTAGACACTGTTGTTTTTAACTTTTTTGACGACTGTGAACAATGCTGCTGTAACCTCGATGTATTGAGTCCCTGCTTTTGATTATTTTGAATATATACCCACACAATTGGAATTGCTAGATCATATGGTAATTCTATGTTTAATATTTTCAGGGACCACCATACTGTTTTTCATGGAGGTGATACCATTTTACATTCCCACCAGCAATACACAAGGCTTCCAGTTTCTTATTTTCTTTTTTTATAATAGCAATCCTAATGGGTGTAAACTGTGGTTTGGTTTGCATTTCCCTAGTGACTAGTGATGTTGAACATGTTTTCATGTGCTTTTTTGATCATTTGTATATCTTCTTTGGAGAAATGTTTATTTAAGACATTTGCCCATTTAAAAAAAATGTTGGTTATTTGTTGGTCACATATAGTTCTTTGTGTACTCTGGATATTAATCCTTTGTCAGATATATGTTATGCAGATATTTATATTTTCTCCTTTTCCATGGGTTGCCTTTGTATTATATTGATAGTGTTCTTTGATTCCTAGAAATTTTTACTTTGATGAGGTCCAATTTGTCTATTTTTTCTTTTTTTAATATGTGTTTTTTGTGTCATATTCAAGAAATCATTACCAAATCCAATGTCATAAAGCTGTTAATATATGTTACCTTCTGAGAGTTTTGTAGTTTTAGTTCTTATGTTTAGGTCTTTGATCCCTTTTGTATTTTTTTTTTTTTTGCATATGTTATCATCCAGCTTTCTTAGCACTACTTGTTGATAACACTGTCCTTTCCACATTGAATGGTGTTGGCACTTTCTCCAAAAATCATTTGGCCATATATGTGAGGTTCTAGTTCTACATTCTCTATTCACCAGTTCCTTTGGCATATATATCTATCTTTGTGCTGTAGCCACAGTTTTAATTTTTGAAAGTTTTGTAAATTTTGAAACCGGGAACTGTAAAACCTTTCTTTTGTTCTTCTTTTTCAATATTGTTTTTGCTATTCGGAGTCCCTTGAGATTCCATATGAATTTTAGGATAAATTTTTCTACTTCTGGAAAAAACCTCTTTGAGATTTTGATGGACATTGCATTGAATCTTTAGATTACTTTAGGTAGTTCTGGCATCTTAGCAGTGTCTTCAATTCACTTTGTATCATTAATTTATTTTAGCAACATTTATTAGTTTTCTGTGTACCAGTCTTTTAGCCTCAGAGCAAACAGTTTAGATGTTGACTTAATCCATTTTGTCAATTTTTTTCTTTCTTCGATCATGCTATTATTTTTTTTTTCTTGACACACCCACCTTAAAAAAATGCAGGTGTGTGGGGTTAATCAGGCATCCTTCAGCGATAAGCTCATGCAAGTTGCATGAGATACTTAGTTGATTTCTGGTTGAGCTTTAAAGGATTATTT